CCAAGCCCGAGTCCGCCCCGCTCCCCGGGGGCACCCCAGCTCTTGCCCCGGCGGGGGAGACGCTCCCCCGGGAGGGAGGTTTCACCGGCCCTAAAATCCGCCCGTCTCTGCGCGCCCGCGTCCCGTTCCTGTAAGGCAGCCCCCGAACAAAAGGCGAAGGTTGGCCCGTGGGGTTTGAAGTGCTCGGCTGCTGGCGAGGGAGAGGCGTCACCGAGCCGAGGTCGGGAGAGGGGGTTGCTGCCGATCGCGGCGGGGTGGGGAGAGGGAGAGTCCGTCTGCTTGCCCTCGGCGTTTTTACTTGCAGGTAGTGTAGTCCTAGCCGGGTTGGGGAGAGTTGCCTGGTTTCTGTACGCGGAGGGTGGTCTTGCATCCTTTCTGCAAATTCATCTTGAGGGTGGTCTGTCAGTGTCAACGGCTCACACCGTAAGCTTTACTTCTGAGAAGTCGGGAGCGAGGAGGAGATCGTGCCTGTCTTTCTGCACTGTAAATACCTCTCTTCTGGTTCCCCGCACAGCTTTGCTTTTCATTGGGCACTACAGGAATGCTTTTGGGACAAAACGAGGTGGTAATATCTCTGGTCAAATGAGATGACCTTTGCTTCGGCAGGCTTTGGATTTCATTAATAGCATCCTGCAGAACTGAGCGTGAATGGCTGCTCTTGGGCTGCCTTCCTGTATGCATTGTATAACTTGCAAGCAGTGGGTTCTGGTAAAACTTTAGAGTTTGTCCCAAAGAACTTGAAGTGATGAGCAGTGTTTCCTCTAACCTTTGAGACTGGTTTCTGTGCCATCTGTTTTGTAATATCCCCAGAATTTTGGTTGCTCTTCAGCTGCCATCCTGTCAGGCAGTAATTTGAATTATACTCATCATCCAAGATGAGCCGTATGAGGTTATTCAGAGTCCTTGGACTATAGTATGTTTAAAGGAAAAAAAAAAAAAAGGAAAAAAAAAAAGAAAAAGAAGTAAATCTTTCTTACTGTGATCTTGCAATCCTTCCTATCTAAAAGCATGAGGACAAACTGAGAATTAGACTTGTTTTCTTCTACATAGCAAAGTTTGGTTTCTTAGGCATTGAATAATTTTTTGAATTCTCTAGCTTGTTATAGACACACTTGCTGTGATGCAATTCATGGCCTTATTAAGGAAAAAAAGTTAGTGAGTCATAAAAAGGGTTGTCAGAAATAAAATTGACTCCATCCTTGAAAGGGCTCATGCTGGTTTTCCCGTACAGTAACGGACACCTTCTTCAGGTTGCAGTTTTCTGACCCCAAGTTGGGTGGTTGTTTTTTATATTTTTAAATGCTACCTCTCTGCGTTTTTTTAATCCAGACTCCAGAATGTTGATAACGTTTGTTATAATGTTCAGGAGACAAGGAAACTAAATTTGACTCTGAGGTGACAGAACAGGTATTTTGATGGCAATATGTAGTATGTATGCTTGGTGGTAGATACTAAAAATAGCAGATGTCAATTTGATGTCTTTTTGTGTTTGTAAAGCTAATGTTTTTTGTTGACTGTAACTGGTTGCATTGACAACTTCAGGGGGAAGGGAGAGGAAAGGGATGGACGGTTTGCTTGACTCTTGTGTGTCTGTGTCTCGTAGAGAGATACATAGGCATGTTGGAATGGTCTTACAGTGGTGCAAATAAATGACTTTGGTATTGTCAGAGGGATATGAGACTTGGGGCTTAATATAATTAATATATAAAACACAGAAATGGAAATTGGGAGCTAGGGGGTTGTTCTTCTGTACAGCCATAGATTTCTTGTGTGATCTGGGGAGAGAGATCTCTCTTTGACGTCTTTTCACATCGGGGACAGAGATGGTGGTTCTGCTCTGGAGAGCTGAAGTAAGGACTGAGAAATGTTCTGAGGATTTTGGAGCACAAAGACACTAACTTATATTTCAAAAAGATGATGTTTTCTCCTTTTTATCAAAGGTGGTTGTTCTTTATGTGATGGAGCTTATGGCCAGAAACAAAGCATTACCTTAAATTGCTGTGACTGAAGCACCACAAGAGACTCCAAGAATTGCAGAGTCGAATCCTAACAAGGTTTATTTTACAAGAGGAAAAAAAAATGTTGTGGTTCAAAACTGTTCTCATACAGTGAACTGCAACAATCTCTACATTAAATCTCCCACCAGAGGGAGCCTGGATAGTTTCATGAAGGCGTTAGAAATTGGTGGAACTTTTAACCAGTTTCTTCCCTTTCTTCTCTTGGAGCCCTTTGACTATCATTTTATTGCACGCAGTGTGCAAGAACTCCTTAGCATTGGTGTAAGGAGGTCGCTCAGTAATGTGACACTTCAGTGACACTGCGAACTGGTGAAATGTAAGGCTGCGATTGTGTAGTGTTATGAAATGCTTTCCTAATTGAAAACCAGTAAAAACTTCTTAACTGTGTATGATTTTCTACATTTTTGAGGTTTCTTTCCTGTAGCTCTCTGCCAATTGCACATCAAGAGATCTACTCCAGAAATGTGTGTTGGCTTGCATTTAATAAATGAGTATTGTGTTATGGGCAGTACTGTGATGCTGTAAAAGCAGATGCAGTGATGGTTACCTATGGGACTTTGTTCACCCTTGCTGGTACAGGGTGGATCTGTGTTGTGTCCGTGTGAGAAAACGGCCATTTTTCTTGTGACTGTGATTTATAAAGGGCTACAGTTAAATTTTTTTCAAGGCTGAAAAACACAGGATATATGCTGAAATGAGGAACATCTCTCACTTCTCTGTCTTGTCCGTTTCTTACCATTTTCCATAGAGCTGTTTTGAGATAGAAAACCTCTTCTTTTCTCCCCAGCAATTACAGAAGGAGATGTTTCTGGAAAATAAAAACCTTCTCTCAAGGACAAGCCAAAGTCCTCTTTTATTGCAAATGTTGAATAGTTTTTTATGGTTAGAAACAGCTATGGTCCTCCCCACCTCCCTCCCCCCAGTGTAAATACAAAACATAGGGAATGCATTAAAAAAAAAAAAAGGGGGGAAACCATGTTCAGCATGAGCTTAGAATATGCTAAGATCTTTTCAGGTCTGAATTTCTAAATGCATAGTTCATTACAACTTCAAGCAAAATAGCTTAAGAACAAGGTTATGGCCATCATTCCCTCCTCCATGCCCACCTCTTCCCAAGCGGTGTCCCTGACTCTTCAGGAATTTGGCTGAGCCTCGTGTCAGGAATGCAACATTTGGACAGATATTCATTACAGCAAATGTGGGCAAAATTCAGACATTTAAGAAATTGGATCACATGTGCTTGGTAGCGCTTTGTATGAGCTTGGCTAGGAAAAATGTCATTGGTACAAAGCATATTTGGACCCTTTGCATCTGTTGATGCTAAAGGTCTCAGCCTGTTGTTGAATGGTGACCAACCACACTTGGTATGGGATTGAGGGTCAGCATAGGTTTGCCTTGTGTTGGCTGCTGTAGTTTGCACACTTGGCAGGAAAGCCAGGTTCTTCACTTGGCTCATCTTTGGTCTGTCCTACCAAAGTCTGAGGGTAGGCCACAACTGAAACACCAAAGGGTAGAGCTAGGCATGGCTGTAGATGAGAGCTAATTCTACTGGAAACCTGCTGCTGTGGGAAGGGAGGTGGAGAGTGAGTAGAGTTGGCACTGGGACTACACATAATAGAGGCTAGAAAGGATAATAATAAATAACTATGCTTGCAAAGTCACTTCTTTCTTAGACTGTGATCAGTCCAATGTCTTAATTTTACAATCACTTTGTTGTCTGAACCCATTGGCCAGATGTGTTTCTATGGCTCGCCAGTCTGTAAAGGGAGCAGTTTATCCTTCTGTCATCTGAGGATGCTGAAGGTTTTAAGCCTGCAGCTGATGTACATGGGTGTTGTTGGCATGGTGTTTCAGGTAGCGTGCTGCTCAGATCACTTTTTCAAGAACATTTATGTACCAGCTGTGGAAGGAAAGCTGTTTGAGCTATGCAGAGTTCAGGAAGTGACGGGATTAAGCTTGCTTGTGCAGAGTAGTTCTCTATCTTAATGTACAATCATTAGCTGGATGATTAGATTCTCCTGTCTTGTTCAGCGTGCAGAATAGATGGTGCTCAATTAATGATCAGCTCTTCTGTGTTTTGTTTTCTTACTCAGTGTGTGGTTTAGGCATTACTTAATGCATATGCTACCCAAGCCCTTGTGAAAGCAGAGTTACTTCTTAGGACTACTGTGTGTGTGTGCACTCTGTTACTAGGTCTGCAGTGCAATGGAGACCTGACTCGTCTTCTCTCTGACCCCAGTCGTTGCTGACACATGATGTATCTTCACAATGTGAGCCTACTGCTCAACGCTTGCTTTGTACTCAAAATGTCTGTTAGTATTGTTTTTTTTAAAGGCTGTATTTGAATGTGGTGTATGTAGTGTTCCTGGTAGCATCTTTTTACTGCATATGTAGGTCATTTTCTGAGCAGAGGAAACAAGACTGTACACAGAATTAGGCAGGAGTGGAAAGCACTGGCATATGGTTCGGGGCTGCCCTGGTGGGACTAGCTTCTACTGACAGTAAAGTCCAGTAGCAAGTAAAAAAATAATCAAAGGACTCGCATCATGTAGTACCAGCTCTGTATTACCTTTACAGTGATTAAGGGCCACTGTTAGCAGCTGGACTACCATGTATGCTGTGAAAATATTGGAAACTAACTGGTATGACCTATTGCCTGTTAAAGATGAGGATATGTGTGCTTTTTTTTTTTTTTTTAAATTTTAAAAATTATTTTTTAGTGTGCTGCTGAACTTTTTCAAGTTCTGTGTATTTTTATCTTGGAAGAAATTACAGATTAATCCTGCCCCCACCCCAGCCCCATCCCACACCCCCATGGGAAGCTCTAAAGCTCAGTCTGTTTTTATAAGTGAGTGCCCACCACATTTTTTTTTGAAGGAGT